TATTATTACTTTCCTTAATAATATATAAGGTTGAAATATTTGGTTGTGAATAAGAATGGATACAATGTTAATTTAATAAGGAACCAAAATGGTGATTTTATAACACAATAATCTATTGATTTTGGACATAATTCTATATATGGATAGATGAGTGAAGATGGAGAGTATTTGATGACTTGGGATTACAAATCAAAGGAAATTTAAATAAGAAAATATTATTAGATATGAAGAACAATGAAATATTATTAAAAAATATTAATATTATTTATTCATTTATTTATGAAAACTAATTGTAAATTATTACATAAGAAATTAAAAGTCAGCAAAAATAATTAAATTATATAATTCATAAGGATAATTACAATTGTAAGTGAAAAAAAGATGAACCATATTTTAAGAAATTTCTAAAAAATCATGAAAATTAGAATAAATTTAACATTCTAATCTAAAATATAAGAATATCATATATTGTAAAATCCTTGAGTATGCATTAGATTTTTTTCTATGAATACAAAAGGTCTTTAGATTTCACTCTAATTTCTCTTTTGAAAGATTTTTACTTAATCCTAGTAATATAAAGTAATTTTATTTATTAGTCTCCACCAATTCTTAAAGGAAAACATTAGGGGCGAACTAAGAATTTAATTTACTATTATTAACAATTAAAAATTACATAAATAAATCGTTTTTATAATACCAAATATTATTATTGAATATCTGATGAAATTCCAATAAACTTGATTAAAATGTACTAACAATAATAATTTAGTATAGATGTGAATATTTAAACAAGTAACTCTTGATTGTTAATTAAAAATATTTTAAATAAAATAAGTCCTCTCTTAGAAGAAGAGGTTCTTGTAGAAATTCTAGCAGTTGATATTTTAAAAATTAAAGTTAAACAGTTTATCAGAAAATAATTTAGTTAATTTTTCTTCTTTAGTCGAATTGATTCAGGAGCATCGACTTTTTTAGATAAATCTTTTCTAAGAGAAATTCAGACTTTTAATGTATATTATGAAGAATCTTGGTAAGATTATATCACGAGGTTTATAACATATGAAAAAATGATCACAGATTGATAATGATCTAGCCTATGAGCGAATAAAAAAATAAAGATAGCATAGGTGTAAGATAAATCAATGGTAAAACTTTAACTATATATCATAACATTAATTCAAAGAATATAAAACTTAGCAGATTAAGTTATGCAAAGATTAACTTGCTTTATTAATCCGTCATTATATAATATTAAACTAGATCAGAAATAATCTTATACTCCATGGTTGATTAAAATTATTAAACAGATGTTGAAAAGGTAAAACTTTATTAAATAGTTTATTAGTGCATTAAATAAATCAGGATGGTTTATATTCACAATCGAGGCGTTTTTGCAAGTCAGAAATCCTTTTGTAAATCACTAAGAGTTTAGCTCAGTTTTCTTTGAAACACTTATAATACCGGATACTAGAATCTTATTAAGCTAACTGAAATCTAAACTAATTAAATAATTTGGTATGAATTATAATAAATCATACATTAAAGAATTTGTTACTTCGGAAGATATTGATGCGGATCGCCAGAATAATTAAAAAACATGCCGTATTAAGAAAAAAAAATTTAAGTTAATCAGTAAAGTCTCATAGAGAAGGCAAATTTTTAATTTTGATATTTATGGAAAATCCCTTATGTCTTAATAGCTTCTGCTTATATCCTTTATAATTTTAGTACATTACTAATAGTATGTTTAATGAATTTGAACATAAGCTAACTAATTCTCCTAACCTTTTTAATACTATTCTATAAAATTAAAGAAAGAGATCTCAAAAAAAAAGGAGATTACTCTATTTTAAGGGAGTATTTTAATGATAATTATGATTGTACTTGCTTTAGTATGTTAATTTTCAAAGAGTTTAAAATAGTTATAATAATAGGAAATAAAATTTTTATCCTTTATCAATAATTAAACACAACATGAAAAGTGATAAAATTTTCATAAATTATAATAGAGAAGGCAAATAGTAGAGAGCAGATTTTATATTAAAGGAATTAAAAATTCAGACTCTGCAGGTGTGATATAAGATATATAACTTATTCTCAAACTAGTCTTTTCTTGCGAAACTATATGTAATTAAAATAATCCATATTCTTAAAAATAGGTTTTGATATTTTAATCTCAATCTGTAAGTATATAATTTCTAACTTTTTTTTCTATTTATATATCACCTTTAATTGTAATACAACTAAATTTAGAATTATTATAAATTTATCATATACAAAGGAATCTGATCAATCAACTTTCCTTGATACAATATCCTTCACCCAATTAGAATGATAGTATCCTCTACGCTAAATGCTCACATACAAATATAATTTTTACATCTTATTGAATTTATTAGATTTAGTATTTAAAATAAATGATTATTTCTATCATAAAATAATATAATTAAAACTATGAATAATTTGATTCATCCAAGTAATTTGTGACATGATAGGTAAAATATCTACCTTTCCTATAATTTTTATTTAAATAAATATTTTTTTTTTAATTTAATAACAACATATGATTCAAAATTGTGGTTATCCAAAATTCTTAATTTATATGCACAATTTATCCACTATTCAAGTTATTAATCTAAAAAAGTGATTAAATCAAACCACCAAAGTATTTAGATTAAGATTGAAAAAATTTATAGTGAAAAATTATGAATTAGAAAAAGTTTAAAGAAACTGAAGAAAAAATGTTTTAAGGATTATTAGGAAGCAATTCATTAGAAAGAAGATAATTCATTTATTTAAGTGTATAAATTGTAAATGCTAAAATTTAGGATCTGAATTTAAATATTTTAAATAAAAATGAAGAAAATAATGTTAATTATTCATTTGAAGACTAGTTACAAATGGGTTAGTTTATTTAAACATCTTATTTTTTTATCTTGAGTTTGTAATTTTGAATATTTATAATTTCATCAAATTATCTAATGGAAAATGAAATCTCAATTATTTATTAAGAACAAAAAAAACTTATAAAGTAACAAATAATTATTGGAAATTTAATTTTGGTATGACATCCCATGAAACTTAAGTAAAAACTAAATAGACAGAAATGCAAGGACCTTTTCGGTATTTATAATACTCAACCCCTAATCTAATTCATTAGATTAAGCTTATTTCCTTATTTATGATATTGGATAAGCCCTGCCTACAGAAAATTATTATCTAATAACAAATAAACTATTGATGAAATCTGATTGAATTAAATAATTATTTTGGGTAATAAAACAAATAATGGAAATAACATGCACTTTGACTGGATTTTGAACAAACTTCTTAACTAATCCTTTATATTAGATTTTTAGAAGATAGTAACTTCCAAATAATTAATTAGTTTTTAGGGTCTAAAACTAATAATGCCTCCTAACAAAAGAAATAAATATATTTGTAATCAAGTCAAAATTTTAAGAAAATTTATATTAACTATACCAATTTCAAAAATTGAATGTTAATAAGTTCAAAAATATCGTTTGATACTCTTCTTAAAAATTATATCGAAAGATAAACCATTTTAGTTCATTTTAAAACTACTATAAACTACACCAAGATCAGCTTTAATATTTAAAATATAGAAGACCTTTTTATAAGTATCAATATTTACACAAAAACTAAATTATTTATTCGAAAATGGAAGTCCACTATTAAAAAAGAACAACATCAATAAGATAATTAATGGTGGGATAAAAAAAAAAAAAAAGATTGTTTGTTGAAAATCATAAGTTGGTTATACAACTCTTTATGATTAATAATAATTCATATAAGAAAAAGCTGAATACTCATGGAATAATTCATTCATTATTGAAAATAATTTTCCCTTTCATGTTAAACTTTTAAATAAAATAAGATTCTAGTCTAATCTTGACACAAATAAGATTCATGATGGACTTCATTTTTTGCTATGATATTGTTTTAAAAAAATTATTATAAAAAATTATTTATAGTATATTCAATATCCACTGAATCTAGATACTATGTCTTATTCTCTTCTACATTTCCTATATAAATATAATATTGATTATTACTCAATTAAATAGCTAAATAAAATACTTAATCATTCTCAAAAGGACTTCATTTCTTTTTTCTTAATTAGGTCAATAATATATTTTGCATAAGAACAGGGGTCGGGTTTATACGCTAAATCTTTTGCTTTACATAAAACTCTAATAGATTGTTATT